GCTGCCGACACGGCCCCTGCACAGCCGAACCCCCCAGAGCCGCCTGGCGAGTGGGAAGGGTCCCGGCCAGGCACGGCAAGGGAAAACATCACCTGCAATTCCAGCCCCACCAGCTCAAACAAGAACAAAACGGAGGAAAAGGCTCGTTTACAGAATATCAACTGCACGCCAATGAAAATGGGCCCGGGAAGATCGGCTGTGAGCGGGTGGATGGGGCGGGGGTCCCTGAGAGCCCCGAGGGGAGTCAGGAGCCGGAACAGCCCCAGGCTGGCCTGGCCAGCAGAGGGAACACGGCCGGAGCTGTGACTGAGGCAGAAATGCTCCACGGCAAATGAAATGCGAGCGCTGGAGCAATCCGGGGTCGGTGGGACAGACAGGGATGCTCGCAGGGCTCCAGCTCCTCTCCAGCCTGTGCCAACCTGTGCCAGGCCGTGCCCACAGCCCTCAGAGGGCTGGGCAGACATTCCCTGGAAAACAAATACCATTCACTCCTGCAGGAAATCATGCTCTGAGTCACGGGACATCCCCTGCCCTGAGGCAGCAGGGGACACAACTGCGGGGAGCTCTTCTCCAGGGGCAGAGCAGCAGCCCGGGGCCACGGGAGCAGCACAGGCAGAGCCCCGTGCCAGGCGGGATCCCCGTGCCAGGCGGGATCCCCGTGCCAGGCGTGATCCCCGTGCCAGGCGGGATCCCCGTGCCAGGCGGGATCCCCGTGCCAGGCAGGATCCCAGGGATCCCATGGGATGGGCACAGGGGAGGAAGGTTCTGGAGGGGGATGAGCACAGGGGAGGAAGGTTCTGGAGCCCATGAGATGGGCACAGGGGAGGAAGGTTCTGGAGCCCATGGGATGGGCACAGGGGAGGAAGGTTCTGGAGGGGGATGAGCACAGGGGAGGAAGGCACTGCAGGTGCCCCTCTGCACTCACAGGGTGAATCAGAACTGGCTGAGCTCAGCACTGAGCACACTCAGGCCTTGCAGCCCAAAGGGGAAAGGATGTGACTCCTGCATGAGTGGCTCTGTTTTACTTCTCCAGGCTGACACTACTTTCTGTTCAGATTAGAGGCACACGAGTGCTCCATTCCCTCGGGAGCTTTTCCAAGGACACTGTTGGAGTTCAGCAGCTTTGGATTCAGCTGCTGTGACACCTTCAGCCAGCCCAGGCCAGGCGGGAATGTTCCTGCTCTGTTTAGTTTTTAACTTCTATCTCTGGAGCTGACAGAAACACAAAAGGAACTGGAAATCAAGGACAGAGCACTGCATAAAGAACATTAATCCCTTGAAATGCAAAACCTCCACAAGGAAAAGGATGCTGCTTGAGGAGAGTTCTATAGTTCAAGCATACAGAAGTTGAACAATACTTAATGCTGCTGTTACAATTTTCACTGAAGGATTAACAAATGTCTGAAGCACAATCCCTGAAAGCACATTTGCTGCACCAGCAGCTGCCTTACAATGGATAAAACAGGCAGGGGGATAATTTGCTTATGCTGAGCAGGATCTTGGCACAGGGAGGGGCAGAGTCCGGACTCTCAGAGCTGGGATGAAACCTCCCTTCAGCCTGAGTCCTGCCAGGTGCCTGCAACCTTTGTGGGAAAACCTGGAAGAGTCCCGGGACATGGAGCTGGAGGCACTGAAGCTGCTTGGGAGAGTTTTATCAGGGGTAAGAAATGATGTCTCATGTTGTAACTTTCTGATAACCCTCTCTGTTGGAGGATTAATGATATCAGTAATAAAAGAGGTTTTATCCCAGCTAATCTTTTCATTTCCCATTTTAATTCAAATCTGACCAGCAAACCACCTCCTCATTCCAGCAGAGACGATTTAAATCACTCCTTTGCTAATTACCATGATCTCCTTTAAAAGCATTTCAGGAATTCCTGACGAAATTCCAATTCGTGTTCTGAAAACCTGCTCTGAAAGCAAATAAAACTTTGGACCAAAACGCCACTGACCTACTTTAGGTTTAAATTCCAATAACTCTGGGAGCTGGCTCCAGAGTGCAGCAGCCCTGTGGCCGCAGGCTCCAGTGCAGCCCTGCAGCAGTGCCAGCTGCGGGCACAGCTGGGGCAGGCCCTGCAGCCAGGGAGGGACAGGCAGAGCTCAGGCCCTGCTGCACGCCCAGCCCAGCCCAGGAGCTCAGAGGTGTCCCAGATCCCTTCCCACCACCTGGACAGCAAAGCAAAGGCTCGGGATTTGCCCTTAAATTGGGTTTTCCTTCCCCCCAGCTCCTTTCCCCACCCGCTGTGGCCTGACCCACGATGGGTCGGCACAGAATGCCCCAGTATCCCCAGTATCCCCAGTATCCCCAGTATCCCCAGTATCCCCAGTATCCCCAGTATCCCCAGTATCCCTGTGGGGCAGCAGGGCTGGGCACAGTCCCCCAGGCAGGAGGGCCACGCTGCAGAGCTGGCAGGGCACAGGCTGGCACTGTGCTCTCTTTCTACCGGGGCCTTGATAAAATTATCCTTGCGGCGTTATTTTTGTCACGTCCCCATTCTCTAAACAGGAAAATATTCCATTAGGAAAGCATCCAGCTCGCCTCTGGGGGTTTTGGCTTTTCCAGGCTGTGGAATGGAGGGGTCTCTGCACCCCTGGTGCCAGCCAGCGAATCCCCCAAAGCCTCAGTGACCATGGCACCAGAGTGACCATGGCACCAGAGTGACCA